GAGAGGTGGGGGTTGGCCTGTTCTCCCATGTGCCTGGTGACAGGACGAGGGGGAATGGGCTAAAGTTACGCCAGGGGAGTTTTAGGTTAGATGTTAGGAAGAATTTCTTTACTGAAAGGGTTGTGAGGCACTGGAACGGGCTGCCCAGGGACGTGGTGGAGTCACCAACCCTGGAAGTCTTCAAAAGATGTTTAGATGTAGAGCTTAGGGATATGGTTTAGTGGGGACTGTTAGTGTTAGGTTAGAGGTTGGACTCGATGATCTTGAGGTCTCTTCCAACCTAGAAATTCTGTGATTCTGTGAATGTTACGGCTTGTTGGTGAACAAATTACCAGAGCCACTTTACAACCCAGCAGCTATTCAGACAAACCAAAATGCAGCAAACTAATGGGGGAAAAAAGGGTGGGGAGGAAAGGGGGAAAGCACAGTTCACAGGCAGCACTGAGAACAGGACATATTGTTCTGCTGATTGTTCCTTTAAGCATGGATAATCATGTACAATAATGTATTCACTTTAAGAGGATTCTCCATGTGGAAAATGTTCTTGAAAGGTTTAAACACCGTGAATGATCCAAAACTCATCATAGTACCAAGGGAACATGGGCAACTTAGAAAGCAGCTATTAAAAAATGGAAAGCAAGAGGGAGACAGTAAAGGAGAAGGGAGCTTTGCAATTTGATTGCAGACAAGATTAAGGATATTCAGAGTAGGGCCAAACAGGCTTTACTGATGCAGTGAAGGTTAAGCTGTCTTTTGGACAGGGGAAAGCATCTTTTAGCATGTTCTGTCTGAATAAACAAGTCTGGCTAAGCTAGTGATAGCTGTAAATGTGGGAAAGAGAATTTCCCAGTAAGAAGATGACCAAAATATTTGGTTCTATGTAAGTATGAGCCTGGGGAGGAGAAGGAATGATTTTCAATTTGTATAGATCATAAAGCTCCCTGAATATAACAAATACAGTTAAATTAAACACTTTCCTCTTTTTTTGACGTTCCTCTCTCTTTTTCCCCTACTTGCTTTTAATCCTACCCCCTGCATCTCCTCCCCTCTTTATTTATCTATCTATCTATTTATTTATTTATTTCCTTTTTCTTTATTTCTTCCTCTATCTGAATTCAGCCTGGAAAGAATCAGGCATGACAGCAGCAGTCCAATATTTTAGAAGCAAGAGATGGTGAGGAGAGGAGCACCATAAGTGAATGCATGAACTGCCTAAGCCAAGGGTGCCCAGTTATCACTAGGAAGGCAGTGTTTTTCATGACTACCTGTGCTTGAGGAGGTCATCACTCGTCTCACAAAGACACATTTAATATTCTTTGCATGGATTTTTCTCTTCTCAGATAGGCTGCTTTGGAAGGAATTATTTGCATCATTTCTAAAAGCAAAAGCATCGTGTGATTTTTGATTCAGATCCTTGGCCTAGGCAACCACAGACCTATTGGTTGTTAGCAAAGTTTTAGAATACACTTTGAAGCAAAAAATATTAAAGATAGAAAGATAAGAAAGATAAAATATGAGATTGGTTTACCAAAGATAGACTGGCAAACTGAACCGATATCACTCCATGATAAGATAAATGATTTTCTAGGCAAGTTAAATTTAATAGATGTAATCTGTCCAGAGTTCAAGAAAACATTTAATATGGTCCATGCTAAAAATTATTACTGAAACTGGAGGAGTTGGGAGTTAGCTGAAGAGTTAGCTTAGGAGCTGTAAATGTGTAAGGACCTAGCTGGTGAATTATTAGGCAAGGGGAATATGTTCATAATCAGTTATTCTAGAATTATTTTTTCCCTTTTCATTAGTTAGAAATGGGAGTACTCTATTTCCGATGGCTGGTGACACAAACCCAGAGGCTTTGTAAACACAGACAAGAATCAGGATATTGGAGAAAAAAAAATGAAGTGACTGAGGAATTAAGTAATAAAACTAGAAGGAAAAATAGGAAAAGTACTTGTACTGAGACACAAATTTTGTTGTATGTTCCTTCGTGTTTCCTGTTCCAAGTTCTTGAAATGGAACAGCTGAAGAGGAAAGAAAGAAGAGGTGTAAATGGTATTTATTAGCCAGTCAGAAGTTGTTGAGCACCAATGCGAGGTGTACATAATAATAATTATTATTCTATTCAACGGAAGCATGACATGACTCCCATTTCACAAGCCAATCAATGACTCCAAACATTGTGGTTTGAAAAAAAAAAAAAAAAAAAAAGGAAAAAAAACAACCAGCCAACCAAAAAACAACAGATTAGATTGGACTAAAAGAATGATGATTTAGGAACAGATAAAAAGGAGTAAAACAGATGATCTGGTTAAACCTGTTAGAAAGAAAGCTACATACCAGTATATTTATTTCTCTATAAATACACTGAGAGTGGTGAGGATATTAGGGCTGTTAAGAAGTTATACAAACTAGAGCCAATGTTGGTGCAAGAAAATGTTAGTATGTATTTATTCATAAACAGTAAAGTTAAAGATTAGCTTTCAAGACGGAGAAACAGGATTTCCCCAGCATGAGTGACTACAGAGAATTAGGATTATGAAACTGAAGTCTCCTTCCTGCCTCAACCATAGGAGCAGCCTGGTAAGATGATAAACAACCTCCCAGGATCTATCCCTTGCCTGTAGATTACTTTGCTGCTTCACTGTTTTCAAGCTGCTGGACCCTCGCAGAGAAGAAGCCACACAATGACATGTTACTGTGTTAGTGTATGGTCAGTGTTTCTTCTGGAAGCTGTAGGTATGGGCTTACAGATGAAAATTCATGCCAAGACAGCTCATTGTAACTACTACTTGTATACTTTCTCCTGGCAGTGTTACCACACCTGCAGACAAGTCCCGCAAATTAAATTTGTAATTGCTGCATACCATATATAAACTGCTAGAGTCCTTTCTTCCACTCTACTCTGAAGCAATGAAGCCACAAGAAAATTACATTAAGTTTGAATCATTGATGTCACCAGTTAGTAGGAGAAAAAAAAAAACAAACAAACATTGTAAAATGGAAAAGCCAAATGAAAAAGACAAATGGAAACTTTAAACTTCACTTCAGGGAATAATCTTAATTCTGGTGATTTCAGAATATAAATTTCTTGGGGCTAGGAAACCATCACACAGGTTCAAGTCTGAGTTTATTTTTAATCTTACTGCATGACTTTGGGCAAACTGCTGAGGATGAGAAACAAATATATCCCATTGGACCCTCCAGCTTCACCTGATGCATTGATACAGTCTGCTTTTGTGACTCTACTGTGAATTGCAGTTAGTCAACACAAAGCACTGCATAGACCAGTAGTGACTCCTGTTAAATTCTACTCAAAGGGTGTCAATGTGTTAACTTTGCATTATTAGGCCTTATGTTGGATGACATGTTGACTGTATACACAGTTCTAACTTCAGGCCACATCCAGAATCTTCTACAGGTGGAATCAAACCAGCCTAAAATGTAAACCTGTCACATATCTACTTCAAGCTGAAACAAATGGATTGTGTGCCCTCATCTTATGTACATTGAACTTTATCCATTAAGCAAGACGTGCAGGCATTAAAGATGGTGGAACTACTAGTATGGAAAAAGAGAATTTTTGGAGATATCAATGACAATTGTGTCCTCATATTTTAGCTAATGTACACACACAGACTGAGATTCAATCCTCAGCCAAAAGTAAGACAGTTAAGACAAGTGTATATCATCCACTCTGGAGAATTCCTTAAATACCACAATACAGAGTAGTCAATGAAAGGATATCTAGAAGGAGAATACCTGCTCTTTTAAGAGTGCCTGGTTAAAGGCCTTTTATAGTGCCAGAAGGGATAATACTGAAGGGGGGCAGTGTCAGGAACCAAGTTTTGTCACTTGTACTAATTTTTAAGGAAAGAGATAGAATGTGGAGGTTGTCTGATGGAGGGTTTCTGGACTGGGATGATAACAAGAAAAGAAGGAGGAACAGTAAACAAAATGATGAGACACAGACCCAACAAAGCAAAAATGGAGACAATGACAAGCAACAAACCTCCCAGTCATGCTAGTTGTTGGGCTTTCGAACTACAGGCTTGCTTTCTAGGAAGATCAACACGGCTTTGCAGCTGGTAAGGGGCACCCAGACTAGGAGGATGCAGAAAATGCAGGGCTCAGCAGACATGGAGGTTTGCAGGGTAAGGGCAGCAGGAAGGAGGATCACAGGCAGCAAGGTAAAAAGAGTACAGAAGTACCTATTGCACCTAAAAGACTAATACGCTTGTCTAACTGAGGCCTGTGCCTGGTCACTGCTGTCCGTCCTTTCTTCTTATATCTTCCATTAAATCTTTTCTCAACTCTCTCTCTGCCTATTCACACTCTCCCATATGTGTGATGAAGGACCACGTCCAGCTCCTGGTAGACTTGTGTGTGTGAGTGAATTTAGTGCCAGCTGTTGGAGTTAGGCCGGGGGTGTAGGCCCCTGGCTATGGTGCCAGCTCTGGGAGCCAGCAGGGCCCTGCCATCAGCTGCTGGACGAGTGGGGTCTTCTCCTCCCAGCTCTGGGGTGGGAGTGGTGTGTGCTTCCAAATCAGCTGCTGGGGGACTGGTGTGAGGGAGGAGTAAGGGCTGGAGCAGGGCCATGGGACACAGCCCCTGTGCCTGGGGCTGGCTGCTGGCATTAAATTCACTTGCGAAATCCCATGTGTCTCTGGCGTACGTGTCCAGCTTTGCTACTGGCTAGGGTTGCAAACGGGAAAGCAGCAGCTGCGTCCCCTGGCCTAGACCCCGGCTCCCAGGCAATGGGCTGGGCCCCGGCGGCTGGAGGAGGTGGCTGTACGCTGCACCTGGCTTCACAGTTGAGTTACTTACGAGTGAAGGCAGTTTGTCCATTCTGCCTTTAAGAAAACAAATGTGAAGGTAATAAAAAGACAAAAAAGACAATTTAGAAGGAGTTTAACCTTTTTTTTTTTTTTTTTTTTTTTTTTTTTTTTTTTTTTTTATGCTGCATGGTTTATAAACCCCCCAAATTATAACACCCCACATTCTTAAATAAGCTGATCCTGGAGCTTTCTGCATTCCTTTTTTCATCTTAGGGACATAAATTTGTATCTGATACAGGAACAAAATTCAGCCCCAGTCTCCTTGGACGTCAGCACCCTACTCAGGAGAGTAGTAGAAGAAAAAACACCCTACTTCATAAAGACATTGTGAAGAAAAGTTTATGAATTATTGAGTCATGTTCTGATACAGAGAGGTCATATATGGATGTGTGTCTGCATCAGACATAGCTAGCTAGAATTGATTGCTGCATGAATAAACATTTACTGCTTCAGGCCCTGCAACAGTAATGTCCCCTCTCTCATCTCGTCCCTGAGTTTCTTAATGGTCATGTCCTGCATGACACTTTGAAGGCTGTATATTGGAAAGGGCAAACTCTTGCTATTTTTCTGTGCTGTACACTACTCAGCCCTTTCTGCCCCCATTACTGTTTGATCTTTTACAAGGGTATCCTGTTGTGAATTATAGGATGTAATTAAGGAAGATGGTTTTAATCCTTCTCATTGTAAATGTACAATACAAGAACCAGCTACATGATATTGTGAATTTTGTGCAGCCTGTAAGTAAGGGTGACCAAACTATTTTCTCTGGATAGAGTAAATCCTTCTTACCCTCATCCTTCAGACTTCAAACTGAACTTGATCCAAACATCCTTTCCTCCAATTTAGGAAAAACTTCATTCACTTTTAAGTTTCATTTTCATGTGAAAATGCTGTGAAATAAATTGTTCCTGTAGTATTTTCAACCATGACCTGAAGTAGAAAGTACCAGAAATACCATGAGAAAACCTAACGATGGGTTGATCTCCACACAATTAAGAGGTGTAATGAATTCAGGTGAGATTTCTGGGACAGCAGGCAAATGCAAGGGTTCACATTAAGGGGTAACTAAAATGATCTGGGCAAAATGCAACATTTGAACATTACACCAGAAAACATAAATAATTGGCCTTTTAAGTAAAGCAAAAATCTAATTTGAAAGACTTCAGGTAGTGATACTAGTTGTGCCTAGATTTCCACGCTGGTGTGCTCCACAGCATCCTGGCCCTGAGTGTACACTAGGGGATATATTGGCAAGCATAGTAAATCAATTCCTGCCCAATACTTTTTTCTTTTTTTTCCCAGTGGAAAATAAGGCACCTGGGGAGATGGCACATACCCAAGCCTCCACGTGACGAGCAGTATATGGTCAAAGTGCGCACTTCAGCACAATTGTTTCTGCATCCTCCAGTTTATATAGACTTTTCAATCACATTTTAACATAACTTTTCAAGTCTTGCAGTAACATTTAGAAGCCTCATTCCCATGCTATGCATTATAAAACCATGGGAGGAAAGAACTGTGCCCCCAGATCTTCCATTTGACATAGAAAAAGGTAGTGCTGAGCTTGAAGGAGAGCAGTGGGAAGCGATTTGTATACTAGCCTTGGCATTTTGCCCAGACCATGCAACAGTTCTGTTTGCACCAATTGTTTGTATTATCCTTTGCTACCTACACCGCTATGTAATGATGAGTGTTGGGAGTGTGCAAGCCTTCAGCAGCAAGGTTCGTCAGCCTGGGCTGCAGTGATCCCATCTCTGATACAGATTGGCATGCAGGGTGATGTGTAAAACACATATCACTATGCAAAATACTCCTTCAGATCAAAGAAAATTTGCCCAGGATTTCCAAGACCCTCTGACCACTGGATAACAGAATCACAGATCATTGGGATTTCTGAATCTGAAGGTTAGTGCAGCTATAAACTGTTGTGCTCCTTCTCAAGCCATGATGTAGAATATCTATAGACAGGGATGATTTGACTAGAGACCGATATGGTACTGGTGAATGCCAAACATCTGCTGGAGCAGGAAAGGGTGATGTGATGACCTCTGCATACTTAAATCCTATAGAAATTAATTCTGGGATAAGGCCAGAGAGCCACTATTGATTCTGACAGAATTATTCTGGATGCATAACCATGTAACTGAAAGCAGAAATTGGCCCGACATGTAATCTGCTTTGGGATGAAAGGCACAATTTAAATGGAAGATGCTATTATTATTATTATTATTATTTCCCTTCTAGGGCTAGTAAAGCCCTTAGCTTTCATCTTCAAGCAGGAGAGGAGGGTGAAAAAAGAGTGCTTTTTTTTTTTTTTCCTTAAATATTTAAACAAGATGTAAGTCTGCCATTCAAAGGATGCCAAAAACAACAACAACAACAAAAACTCACACCACCAAACAGCTAGAAACCGAGCAAAACTGAAGTAGATTTGACCTCAAAGGAGCTGAAATTGAGTTAAAGTTTACTACTGAAGTCAGGTTTCCCTTGGGGGGTAGGCTGCCATTTAAGCTATTTCTTCTCTTTTACTTGTACAGTATAATTCCCCTAATACAGTGCTATAGGTCAAAAAAGAGCTCCACTACAGCTGGGTTCCAATTTCCATTTACCAGCAAGAAAAAACTCTCCTTGTATAAAACAGCTTAGTATTATTTTGTGGAAGAATTGGCTCCTAAATACTACCTTGTAGAAGAATAAGGCAACCTGTATCTCGGTAGTCTGAAGTGAAAGCTACATCTTCAGGGCACTAGCCTTCAACAGATTATACTCCTGAGTCTGCTACTAGCTCACTGTGTCTCTTCATCACTTTTTTGTTTTTAAAAAAGGTACTCTTGGTGTATCCGGTTAATTTTTAGATGTTTGCTTATTTTTATTTTCTTTTTACCTTTTCTTGAATTACTTCTCAGCTTTCTTCCCACCTCTCTATTCACTTAGAGCCGTGTGCACACCATCTCTTCTGTCAAGATGAAAATCTGCACAGACTGATGACTGATTGGACTGTGAATGGGGAAAAATTAAGTAGCTTATAGACCTGGTATTGATAATAAAGGAGCAAACTGATATAAACAAATTAAAAAAAAATCCACTTACATGCTTTACCCGCTTTCTCTCAGTTATGGTACTTGTCAGTGCTTCTTGTAGCAGCAGGTACTAAGGAAGCTTGAGACAGAAGAATGATTTTTAAATTTGTGTGAGCCCTTTTAAAGACACACAGGGAAACTACATATCCCACTGTGTTGGCATCAAGCTTTGTTTTTCCCTGCCTTTTCTGTGCTAAAAAACAGCTTGCTGCTGCCACATTAGTACCGGCAGATCCTCCTGGTAGTGAAGGGAATGAACTTCATACTCTGCTATGGCTTGTTGAGGCTGGTGGACTGTGATCTGTTTTCAGGGGAAAGAAAGGGTTGAACCAAAGCCAATTTTTGTGTTGTTTGAATGTGCTGGAGGGGTTTTAGTATAGAATTAACTCTTCTGAAATCATTGCATCCTGAAGAGATCCTGAGACCAAATTTAAAAGGTACATTTATGATGACTCTTTTCTGTGTTTCAGTACTTGTCGGAAAAGAAATTTTTGAAATGTCCATGTTTCATATGTGAAGCTGCTCTGGCCTGTATTTATCTCCCTGGAAACTGAAGTGCATCTGATTTGGCTTCATTTGGGTTGACCCTTCTCTTCCTTTGCTAAGATTTCTTTAAAATGTTGGTATAGGAATGTTAAAACCAAGTGTTTTATTTATTTATTTAACAACGTGGTGGTTTAATTCAGCTGGGCAGCTGAGCTCCACCAGAACCGCTCTCTCCCTCCCCAGAGGGAAAGGGGGAGAAAATATGATGAAAAGGGCTCAAGGGTTGCAAGGCTGAGGTAGGACAGGGCGATCACTCACAGCAGTTTTACTCCCTTTCTTCAATCTGCTCTCACAGAGGTGCAAACAACATTGCTCACTGGTTTGGCTCTGGGCAGCGGCGGACCCCTTTGGAGCCAGCTGAAACTCGCCCTTATCTGACATGGGGCAGCTTCTGGACTCTTCTCACAGAGGCCACGCCTGCAGCCCCCTGCTACCAAAACCTTGTGACATAAACCCAATATAAACAGTTAAGAGCCTGGGCTTATGGTTCTGAGTCAGTTTATTATTGCAGTGTTTTTAGTGCTATGTTATGCTTACTATCTATTACTTTTTTTTGCTTAGGCCAAAAGCTTATTCCAGCTGGAAAGTCAGAAGTCCTTCAGTTTTGACCAAAGGATTAAGAAATCCCAAAGTCTTGCACTAAGGAGACAAGAAGGTGAGATGAAGAAGATGAAGACCAAAAAAAAAAAAAGCTTTCAAAATCCTGGCTATATCTGTATAATAGTACAATACTATCAATAAATTCATGAGCATCCTGAGGTGTCAGGGATTTATGGTTTTCTATCTGCCTGAAGCTGGTGGACACCTTCCCGAGGCACAGAGAACGTTTCTTACACATCTGAGTTGTGCACTAATGGAAATCACACATAAAGTTATTTTATTGTGCTCTCTATCTTGACTAGCTTACCAGTGAGGACTTAAAACAGGAAAAGAAAATTCAAATCTCACTATCAAGGATTAAAAAAAAAAAAAAGCATATAGTTATTTTCAAGGTGTACTGCCATTTAAAACTTTGAAATAAAAAGAAAGTTAAATGGCTGCAATGATTCATCAGGATAGCATGAGCATGAGGGCAACATAAGGTGTGTACAAGTCTTTAGCCAACGTTCAGTGCTTAGGTTTGTGAAATGCAGGGAAAGTACAGCCTGAATAGCTATTGATTCAACATATGCTTAATTTGGGCAGAGTCAGAGAGCTTTTAACTTTGCTGAGATGATCACTTAGAAATCTAGATATTTTTGATAAAGACAGAACTTTTGCAATAACAACTATTTCCTTTTCCTATATTGGGTTTTTATTTTATTTTATTTCATTGTATTTATTTTATTTTATTTTATTATTTTATTTTATTTTATTTTATTTTATTTATTTATTTTATTTTATTTATTTTATTTTATTTTATTTATTTATTTTATTTTATTTTATTTATTTTATTTTATTTTATTTTATTTATTTTATTTTATTTTATTTTATTTTATTTTATTTTATTATTTTTCCTCAGTATGTGCTGTTTTGATCTAAACTGGTATTTAGAAGTCAAAATTCACAAACTGTTGTGACAAAATGTTCTGTGAACTTCATCAACTTTCTCATTTTGGGATTTAGAGTAAAAGTATATTTTGCTTGCTGGTTCGTCCTGAAGCTGACACCAGTTATCATAGCTGAAGCACAAGGATTCAAAACACAGATCAGAGAGTGGTTTCTCTCACAGTTGAGGCTCATATGTTGGTACTTGATAACACAAAGTTGGGGATAGCAGATGTTTTTTATGACCTCAAAAGGCAACAGGGAAAATTACTGGAAAAAAACACACTGAAGACAATGAAAAATGATGATAATGTATGTGGAGGTAAAATTCCTGAGCTGTGATTTATTAGGATCTGAGAGACTATGTGGGAGAAGTATCAGTCACTATTCAACTTGATATACTCTTTCTTAGGTGACCTTTATTGACCTCTGTCATAGACAGAGCTTCAGTTTGACCCTGTAAATCGGTTCTTCTGCACTTCTATGGGATATGAGAGATAGAGAGGACTCCAATTATGCCTTAAGTCTGAATTAGAAAATTAACCTTGATTTTCTAAGCTGAAACCACGTTCCAAATCTGCCCTTCAAAGGACCACCCTTTGCTTTTCATGACTCATGCTAACAGGCTGATGAAGTCAATAAAGCTGCACTGTTGACCAATTTGTCTTTGTCACATGAGAAAGGGTAATAAGATCAGGGCCTTTGATGTTTACTAAGGTTCACAAACCTTTCAGGTGACCTACTTCTGTGTGGTGATCTATGGGTTCTCAATGAATCCAACCTGAATTTCAGGTTTTTGATTAATTTTTCTTTTACATTTTTGCCTTCCTGTGATCGTGAAACTCAGAATAAAATCCGTGAGCAGTGAGAAGGAGGGGGGTTGAGGGAGAAAGGAAGGGAGGAGCCCTAGGCAGTACCAAAACCAGTCAGTCTCATTCCTTTAGTTCCTGTGACCTCAATCCACTCAGACTTAACTGTGTTTGTGTTTGAAATTTGTTAATTTGTTTGTTAATTCGTGTTTGAAAGGAAAGCAGCAAACAACTGTGTCTTGGCTGCTGTTTGCATGTGCACAGAATATTCTGTGTTGCTCTGTTAAGAGGACCTTGTTTTACATGGGATTTTAATACAAGCATCCAACAAGGTCAAAAATAGTGACCCTTTGAAATGAAAAGATTAACATTTTTATAGATAGGAGAGGAAAATAGGCAACTTGCACTGGAGCATGAGAATTCTATTTTTTTCTTCTCTCTTTTTTTTTTTTTTTTTTTTTTCTTTACAACAAATAAGGTTTATGGATTGCGAAGAAGAGACTGCCCCATTAAAAAAATAAGTCTTTTTACAGTATTTTCCAATTTAAAGCTGCATGCAGGTAGCACTCAGGATCATCCAAAAAAAAGTCTGACTCACTAGTTTTTCAATTTAGTTTGTTAATAGCCTGCCTTTCATAAAAGCATCAAGCACAATAACAAAAATAACTAAATCAATAGGATGATACAGCAATGCCTCACAGAAATGATATTTTTGAAATAAATATATACCATTCAGCCTGGACTACTTGACATCAAATTTATATACTCAATAAGAAAGCATAAATAATGGCCACAAACCCTATTTTCTTTCACCTATTTCACATCTCAAGAAAACCATTAAAAAAAAAAAAAAGGAGGGGGTAGTTTGGGGAAGAAAGCAGGAAGTGTTCCATTCAGTTCCGTTCATAAATGAAATGAACCCATTAAAAATAACTCTCTTCCCGCATCCATACAAATGTCTCCTGGGGACTGGTATGTATTTTATTAAGAAACAGAAGTGTGGAACGTGCTTGAATTTCACAAGGTATGTAGCTAGGTGATTTATCTTCTTTCTTTCCTCCTGCCCACTCCCTGGGCATTCATTAATTTTGAGCGAAGGAAGGAGGGAAGGATCTAGCCCATTTCCTATTGATACTGACATAGCTGTACTAGAGTCCACCTACTTGTCTGTCTAACTCTCTGCCTTCCATGTGGACCTAAAATCTGATTTAGTTAGCTACTTTGATCTAACGGTATTCTAAAGACTTCTAAAAGTGAAGTGGGGTGTTCAGTTTCCAGAAGGAAAACATGTTGTGTGTGGGATTCCTTTATGAATCAAAAGCAGTTTGGTGCTCAATTGATTTGACAGCTTTTGCAAGTCTCCCTGTCTAGTGGGAAGGGAACTGAAGAAAGGAGTGTGTGCCTCCAGACAGGTAAACTAAGAGTTTCAGTTGTGTGGCAAGTCTTCCTTTTTAAGCAAATGAAAGAAATGTGAGTCATTGAATGAACAGCAGAAAGGGATTAAAGTATTACTGCCTTTTTAAAGCACCTTTTAAAAATTACTCCTGAAAGGATCAAAGGAAATGACCATGGATACTTAGATAGTGGTCTAGAACTACCCAAGCTCCTTAAACAGAACACCAAAATCATAAGTCCTGAGCCCTGTACTATAAAACAACCATCACTGTTCCTGACAGAAAACAAAAAGTAATTTATAGGATTTTACCATTCCAATCACAAATCTGGTTCCTACTTCACTTCTCAATGGAAGCATTTCTGGGATGGGAATTTGATAGACTGATTCACAGAATCACACAGAATCACAGAATTTCTAGGTTGGAAGAGACCTCAAGATCATCGAGTCCAACCTCTAACCTAACACTAACAGTCCCCACTAAACCATATCCCTAAGCTCTACATCTAAATGTCTTTTGAAGACTTCCAGGGATGGTGACTCCACCACCTCCCTGGGCAGCCTGTTCCAGTGCCTAACAACCCTTTCAGTAAAGAAGTTCTTAAACTTCTCCTACATTTAATATGGGAGCCTAATACACACACACATTAGATATTGTTTTGGGCCCCAGGGAATTCCATTTTACCTATGCACAATTATTCCATACCACAGATTTGTGGCAGGTGGAAATCCAAGCTACCCTAGTGTGTGATACACTCATGAAGCATCCGAGATGTGGAACAGACAGCAACAGAAAAATGGGACATAGGAGGGACCTAAAGAAGTTGTTTTCAAATTCAGCCTCTTTTGGGATAATGCTAATCAATTATTTCACAGTTTTAAGCTACCTAGTGGTTAATAATAATACTTTAATCTATGGTTTTTACTGCTATTTTGAAATTGCAACTAATCAAACACAACAAATAGTCTTATGTTACACGTACAGTAAACATCTGCTTCATTCAAGGAAAATGGAGACACTGAAACATTTATCAGTCACTAGTGGAGAAATGGGTAAAATCTAAGAGATTTAACTCCTTGTCCTTTTCATGAAGCATGGTACTAGACAGTATCTTTTGGTCAGAAATCTAAATCATAATAAGATAAATCTGAGTTCTGGCTCACTTTTTACTCATCCTAAAAAGCAGGCAGAAAATAAGCATTGTTCCTGGAAGGTTATGTCTGAAGTAAAAAAAAAAAAAAAAAAAAAAAAAAAAAAAGGAATAAAGAAGAAGAAGAAGAGAGAAGAGGAGAGGAGAGGAGAGGAGAGGAGAGGAGAGGAGAGGAGAGGAGAGGAGAGGAGAGGAAAAAGAAACCTTCAGTACTTGGTTGTATATCACTGAGCAGGTTCTTTTTTAAAAATAAAAAAAAAAAAATAAAAAAATCTTATTCTTTTTCTGCAGCATTGTGCCAATATCTGGTTGATACCCAACCTAACAACTCATTCATTACCCTGAATATCTTTTGAGCCAAACTCCACCCATAAACAGGGCTGCACTGACTCATAAATCTCTGTGGCTGGACACCTGAAAATCCATTTGGAATCCACCACTGGATTTGGACATAATAAATAATGAAAAATGAGGCTTGGTAGTTGCCATATTTTGTAATGAATTGTAGCTGTGAAAAGAAGACAATGGGAACTACCCTGAAGCTTACAAGATTAGATAGACCTATTTACAGAAGGGCTTATTTTATGGTGTAATGAAACAGTCTTTTCAGAATTTTACTTGTCATGTAATGACTTAAAAATAAACATAGAAACTACCATTAAAACAGTAATAATAATAATACATGCAAAGTTGGTACAGCTGTGTCTTTTGCAAAGAATATAATCTAATTAAAGCTTAAAGAATGGATTAAATATATTTTTTCCTTTATCAGGACTAAAAGTTCCCCAAAGAACAATGTCAAGCCCGATGAAATTTTGCCTTTGAAGGGGAAATATTTTTTACATCCATACAAAACAGTTTCAAACACAGAATTAGAA